CCCAGCCCCAGCCCCTGAAAGTACTTTTTATAATTCTTATGGCTGCACTTATGTGAGACTGTTTGTTTTTTTCTACTTTGTATGAACAACATTACATCTTTACTGCAAAAATAGTAATGATTATGGTGAAAGGGTGCTATGCTAGATCATACCAATGGTGTGCTACAATACTGTATACATATGTAATATACTGAATATTTATTGTATGATGTCTCCAAAATCCAACATATCTTTTTAAAGCTTTTTTATTGTTTTATTTTAAGCATACATAATAGTGGAATTTGTTCTTACCTATTTGTACATGCACACAATACAATATAATTTGGTCAACTTCATTCCCCAGCACCTCCCCCTTCCATCTTATCCTCCCTCCCCCTGGTCCCCTTCCTCTATTTTATGGGTCTCCCATCTGTTTTCATGAGATTCCCTCCACCACCTTTTTTTTTTAGCTTTTTTCTCTCTAGCTTCCACATATGAGAGAAAACATATGACTCTTGACTTTCCGAGTTCGACTTATTTTTGCTTAACAATCTTCTTAATTCTTAATCCACCCATTTTCCTGCTAATGGTATAATTTCTTTTTTCTTTTTTTTTTTTGGTACTGGGGATTGAAGCTGGGTTGGGGAGAGGGTTGCTACATACTACATATGTCCCCAATTCCCACTTTTCATTCTTTATGGTTGAATAAACTCCATTGTGTACATATACCACATTTTCTTTATCCATTTATCTGTTGAATGGCACCTAGGCTGGTTCCATAATTTGGATGTTGTGAATTGTAATACTATAAACATGAACCACAAACATTTCTGGATTGTAAAACATCTTTCCCCAAAGCTTCAGATATAGTTTTAGATTCCTGTACATAATTCCATAACTCAATATAATTGTTTAGATGTAATTATATTTATGATCTCTGAATCTCTTCTTTAATTTTATATAGTAATAAGCATAATTTAGGCTCATGGTTCTAGAGCATCCACTCTCTCCTCAGCTCATTGTCCCTCATAATACTGATACCTGAGTTCTTGATCACTAGCAATCATATTAGTAAATTCACAACAACTGCATTTGTACTGACCCCTATATTTCTAAGAGCCCCTTGTACTGCTAGAGAATGCAGTCTCTAAGGCCCAGGGTTCATGGAGGGATACATCTGTCTCCTATATCCAAAGGGATTTGCTGGAACCAGTGTAGATCCAGCTCATGCAAAGACAGCTTTCCAAAGCACAGACATGGTTGGGATACATCTACCAAGTGGCAGCCCTCCTAGGATGTGGCCCCCAAAAGCACGGGATAGGATAAGACCCAGGCTATTCTCTGTCCTCTCATTGTACAACTTTCTGGGCCTCTTGCCGAGAGTTTCTGTTCTCGACTAAAAGGCTCAGGGGGTTACTCCAGTTGAACTGGGCTAACTGGGCTGCACAAAATAGCCACACAAGAGACACAAATATCTTTTTCATTGGGGTCGCTGTGACAGCTCCTCTGACCTTAAGGGTCCGCAGGAAGAGAGAGAGGGAGAGAACATGTTGACCCCTTTTATTGAGGAGAAGCTATTCAAATGAGGCAAGGGGTCAGGTTTCAGGGGGCTGAGTCTATCTTCATGTTGTCCACTGTCAGCAGGTTGACTGACACCTGGGTAGGCCACACCCAAGGGCACAGTAAGAGAAGGGGACACACACAAGGCACTTCCATGGAAGATTCTATCCTAAACAGGGCAAAGGGTTTACAAAGGAACAGGTGAGCATAGCTTCACCCATGGGGCTGTAGCAAGACACACCCATGCACGAGACACGACTCTTGAACCCAAGAAGGGTGGGGAAATCTCTGCCACATTTCTGTGACTGAGAGCCTCAGCACCCAACCGGGGAGTGTGACTCAGTCATGTGCAAGGTTAGTCTCCCACAACCTCTGACTGACATCTGGATTATTTATTCATTCTTTTAAACATGTTTTTAGTTTTCTTCATATATGTAACAGACAATTCTGAGATTATTTCTGCATATTTTATGTTTAGGTTTTCATTATAAATGAATACTCCTTGCCTATTGAAGATACACCTTTTTATCTTTGAGCATTTTTTTTTAATTTTGCCACTTTTCTGAACTAATAAGTGCTTTAAAGCCTATTCTTTTGGATCCTCAAAGTTATAATCATCTACAAGAAAGATTTTGTTTTTATCTTTTTGTGTACATATCCTTTTGTTTCTCAGTTAATCTCTGACTTGAACTTTTAAAATATTACAGCATAATAATGGTGATACCAGGAATCTCTGTTTCTACCCTGATTTCAAGCAGAATATAACTTTTTCCTCTCAGAACATACCTTTCACTCTTTCTTGCTCTAAAATTAAAACCTGTGTCTTTTGTTAGACAAACTTCCCTGGAAGATAAGACTAAAGACAACAGGGCTTCACAGTATATGATGCTATTATCTGTTACTTGTAAGCTGCATGAGGACATGAGGAACATGAGCAACCTTGTGCGTCTGCTCATGATCGTTTTATAAAAGATTAATCCAGTTTTCCAGTTTGGGGTGGTTCTCATGGTCATTAGGACTATGGGTCAATTTAAATTTCCGTTAATAGATTTTTGTCCCTTTTTCCCTGAACTTTTGCTACACTTTGAGAGGGATGAGCAATTATTACATATAAAAGAATTTGGGAGGAAAATTCTCCAAGCTTATATTTATAACTACCATGCAACAACTCTTCTGCACACAAACAGTCTTCTATAAATCCAGAATCATATTCATTTACCTTGTGTTGAGTGTTATTCTGTCAGGAAAGGACCTAGCTGAGAAAAGTTACCACACATTGGGAACAGGATGGGTGAGGTATGTCTCCTATGCAATTAGCATTCAGATTTTGAATATATCAGTATTTCGTAGCCTGTCTTATTTGCTTACAAGAATGCAAGGTACATCAGAAAAAAGCAACAAAAATCGACTAGGCTCTCTCCTCAGGTGCTTACCACAATTTATATAGTTGTGAAAGATATCCCATTAAGCCAGGCACAGTGGCACATGTCTGTAATCCCAGTGACTTGGAAGGTTGAGGGAAAATGACACAAGTTTCAGTGGTAGAGTGTCCCAGGTTTAATCTCTAGTACTACAGGGGGGTGGGGGGTGGGGGAAGTGACCTGCCTTTCTGCATACTTTTTTTTTTCTCTCTCTCATTTCAGGGAATGATGTAAATTTGCTGCACACAAGAGGAAAAGCATGAGACCAAGTATTTTTATATTAAATAAACAAATAGGCCTAGACAGAAAGGAAAAAAAAAAAAAAAAAAGCCTGTTCCAAAATTGTCTTTTGAATTTAGGTAGCTAGTATTTTTATTTTTTTCTAATTTTCCATCATATATGTATAGATTATGCTTTCAAAATTACATGAAAACTACTAGCCTGTTTTATGAATACTGACAAAGACACAAGATGCCTGGGTCAGAGATAAGTGATTTCTCACTCCTGGCCAAAGCCGTAGTCAGAGTGTCAGCATATTTGAGCCAGTTCCCATGCCCTTCCGTTCCCACAGAGGGAATTCACAGGTCCCATGATGGATGCCTACACACCCAGTCAACTGCTTCATAAGAGGGGAGCACTGAGCTTGAGGGATTCCCTGCTTTTTAGAAAAGCAAGCCTGCTCTTTCAGGGGATATGACCTTATCCTGCAACATCCCTTACTGCAAACATAATCCTGAGAATGGTTCATATAAAGAACACACAGTGCCTCGCTTTCATGAAACACCCAGTTTTATAAGTCAGATTTCTGTTTCTGTGATAAAATACCTGAGAGAAATCAACTTAAAGGAGAAAAGGTTTATTTGGCTCATATGTTTTAGTCCTTGGTCACTTGGCCCCATCCTTGTGGGCCTGTGACAAGGCAATAGATACATCATAGCAGGAAGCATGTGGCACAACAGCTGTTCATCTCATGGTAGCCAGAAAGCAAAGAGAGAGACTGTGCTTTTATAACAAAGCCCTTCCTTCCAAAAACTATTAAGCTATGAATCCATAAATGGATTAATCCACTCAGTAGGTCAGAGAGAGCCCTCATGATAATCACCTCCCAAAAGACCTTCCTCTGAACACTGTTGGACTGGGGAAGAAGCTTTGAGGGTACATTGCAGATCCAAACCATAACACCCAGAAAGAATGTGCAAGGATGCTTGAAACAGATTGCCTCTTTTAATGGGGGGATGAACTTTTAAGTGCTCTGTCTGCAAGATAGAAGGAGCAAAGTGTTCCAACTGAGGGGACTCATGTTTCACTAGGAACAGACTTTATCAGGGAGAAAGCTACAGAAAGGAAACAGCTCTAAGTTGTTTTCAGTTAACCTTCACAGCAGATGGGGATAGGGTCACTAACTCACAAAGAGGATCTGAGAAGGGCACCATCAGTATTTCCTACACCAGCTCTTCCTGTTACAATCATAGATTTCTTTCAGATTCTATGCTATCACTTAATGTATACAGTTTGTAATATAGAATTTTCTAAATTTACAACATATTTGAAGAGTTGTCAAGCTTCAAATGATGATTTTTTTTTAACTGATCCCAAGATTTGGCAGAAATAAACATGTGCTCTCACTTTTTTCCAGTGTTCTCTTCATTCTCATTTTCTGATAATAGAAAGTACTAAATTTCAGGATATTCTTTTACAAGAGTCCTTCCAGTTAAAAAAAAAAAAGTCCCATGTTTTGCTTTTTTTTTTTTTTAAGAGATAAAATAATAAAGAAAAAACACTGGTGCAAGGGCATCCCACCTGTCTCACTTACTAGCCCCTGCGACATTGGGTGATTTAACATCCTCACCACGCCTTATTTTCTTCATGTGTCCAATAGATCTCATAATAGTCCCTGTTTCATAAAATTTTGTAGAGTGAGTGCCTTCAAAGCACTTAGAACAAATAACAATATCTGATATTTAGTAAAAACTCAATAAATCTTTTTTTATATTCCAGACCCTCTCCAACACTTCTTTTAAGCTACAGCAAAAATAAGACTAAGCAAAAGAAACATGTGCAGCCTTACAACCCCAGAGGACAATATGAGTTCAAACAATGTAAGGTATTGTTTTCTGATTTGCTACATTTCTGATGCCCTTACTGAATGTGACAAGTTTGTTTGTTTGTTTGTTTGTTTTGGCTATAATAGCATTCTGGGTTAATATCTTCAGTGAAAATAAAAACTTCTACCTACAGTTTCTGAGTGATACTATATACTATCTGAAACATCCTACTTGAATTGTTGTTCTTCTAAATACCTTATCTAATATTGCTTCACCATTATATTCTTTAATGCAACCACAGATTTTGTGAATCACATAATCAAATAATTTTATATATTTAGAAAGGAATATATAAAATCCCATAGTTCAAGCAACTTATATAATTAGTCCAAACTACAGATGAAGACATCAATTCTTAAATTTGCTCTTCCAAACTTACAAAGATAGTTCAGTGAATTTTTTTGCTAATAACATATCCTGCATTTCATTCTTATTTAATGAAGTAAATTATTTTCTAAAAATAGCATCCTGTAATTATATAAATGCATCCTTCCAATCACACTGAGGCTCTCTTGAGTAGTTAGTTCTCTTATCTACCAACCAGGAACCTTGACTGGAAGCCTGTTCCTGATTGGTGAAACTAAGCTGTAGCAGTAGAATGTCAAGGAGTAAACAAAAAAGCACAGGAACAATTGAGTTTGCTGTCTCACTACCTTCAGCATAGGCCAACCTGGACTCCTTCATCCCAAATGAGGTGGCCTCTACATTTTATATGAAGGCTCTGATTGACCATTCAACTGTGATATGTCTTATAACATGGCAATCCAATACAGATGGGAAGACAAAACTGAACAACACAGCTAAAATAAAGGGTATTCCCAGGTAAAGTGGACAAATGATTTCACTTGACATAGATTACTTTGATGAGCTTCAGTTACAAGGCTGCAGGAAGTTACCAGCACACAGGAGCTATTTCTGTGGACAGTGTCACCAATTTCTATTAAGTGGCAGCAGTTGTGGTGGGTGCCATGACTCACTGCAGTGTGTGAACTCATAGCCAGACAGGACTCGCAAACAGGTTTCATCATTAATCCCATACGGTGTAAAAAGGCATGGAGAGTAGCTAAGGCTTGTAGCTGTGGAGTGTCCTGTTTTCCAGGAAAGAATGTTCACATCTTGGAGCTGGTGGCTTACTGTCCTGTCGCTAGGCAATGAGGGGAGGATACCTTTTATAATGGGTGCTTACTGGGAATGGAATCTCTATTTGCACTTTTCCAGAGACAGAATTTTCTGCCATCTTGTTTTTTAATCTTGTTTACAGGATACACATTGTGGAAACAGGATGAAGTTGACCAGTGAAAATTTGCCCAAGAACCCCTTTTATACATCTATATCTCAGTATGCTGCTAATCACCCACAATTCTTCCAATGGAGAAAGGAAAAGACTGGTACAAATCTGGATATTTAATCTTCCTTTAGAAAATATTTTTTATTGGAATTTCATTATGTACAATAGCATAAACAAGACAAGGAATGTATCTTAGTGATTTCAAGGAAGTGGTTAACTTTACAGCCCTTTCTAGGTTTCCTGCAAGAATCTGTGAAATTAACTACTTAATTTGGTAGCAGATTATCAGTGGAAGAATCACACAGTTTGGTCCTGATTCTTATTTTACCCTGAGAACTTAATAATAGGCTTCGAGGAAACAGAAGCCAAATATCACTTCTATCAAAGAGAACAACAATATGCTTTACTTGAAAGGGGCATTTAAAACTACCCATTTGGTTTCCTTTAGATTTTCAAAAATTTAATTTGGGGTGATCATCTTATTTGATGAGAATAGTTCTGATTACAGCTCAGAGTTAAGAATTTAACTCACCTGCAAGACAGCTTTGCCCAAAGAAAACTCAAGGTGTGCATACAAGCTACATTTTCGAGGGGCTGGGGATGTGGCTCAAGTGGTAGCGCACTCGCCTGGCATGCGTGCAGCCCGGGTTCGATCCTCAGCACCACATACAAACAAAGACGTTGTGTCCACCGAAAACTAAAAAATAAATATTAAAGAATTCTCATTCTCTCTCTCAATACTTTCTCACTCTCTCTTTAAAAAAAAAAAAAAACTACACTTTCGAACTCTGATCCAGTAGTGACCAGGGTTAGTCTGAAAAATCAATGAGTATTTCTTGATTAGACCAGGTAAAGTGTGAGGTACTGTGGTAATGGTGGGTTTTTTTGGTTGTTGTTGTTTTGTTTTTCAAGTGTTACTTTTTCCTTGAGCTAAGAAGGCCAGATTGAGGAACAAGAACTAGGAAAGAAACTAATATTAGTATTAACAGTGCCAGATGAATTGATATAATTTTTGAGAGAGAACATTCACATTGTATGATTAATAGAATTTTTACTTTCTAAAATCAGATCATTACAACCATTCTAATTTGGTGGATAAAGCATTGCAGCTCTTGAAGGAGAGAATAAGAAGAGGAGATGCTCTGGCATATTTCCTACGGGGTCAACTATATTTTGAAGAGGTATCATTTTAAAAAAATTTGTTTTCGTTCCCTATAATTCTGTTGTTAGATTCTCCGAGCAAATTTTCATGTAGAGTTCCTTATGTTGTTATACCAAGAAATTCTGTCAAATTATCTGAATTATGGTTGTGGCTTTAAGTATGATACACTACTACCAGCTTAAGGAGATCTTTGATCTTTTTTCAGAGAAATCATTTTAATAATGTCATTTATCAGACAGATTTTTGATATAAAAATCCATTTCCACATTAAAAATTAAAAATTGAGTTTACACATTTTTGCTCAAAATATTTAATATCATTTATAAGATACGTTCATACTAATAACAATTGAAGGCCCTGATTCTTCTCTAGTTCTTAAAAGTGGCTTTATAGTGTGAAGAGGCAATTTCCCTTTTTTACTCACATTATGCTAGAATATCCTGGGAGGTGAATCTAAGAAAACTATGCAAACTAACCATCCCAACTTCAGTAAAATAGCCTCAATTCTTCATCAAATCCCAAGTTAGACTTGAAAAGGGAACATCTCCAATCCCTCATGATCCATTGAATATTTGGGCAGTTGTTCACCCACATCCCACTTTCTCTCTAACCTTTTAATGGCATCTTCATTTATTCTGGAAACAAATATTTATTGAAGACTCTTGCACTTGTCAGTCTGAACTGACAGCTCAGTGGTTAACAGTGTGACCTCTCAGCTTTGGCCCTGGGTTCCAATATAGCTGTATCACTTATTACTGTGTATCCACTTAATACTGTGTATCCTCGGGCACAAATAAACTCACGGTGCGTCTCTGTTTGGGATTACTTTAAGATCATCATAAAAATAATTAAATATTTTCTGGGGGGTTTAGGGTTGGTATGAAGAAGCATTAGAACAGTTTGAAGAAATCAAGGAGAAAGATCACCAAGCAACTTACCAGCTGGGAGTAATGTATTATGATGGGCTGGGGATCGCTGCAAATTCTGTAAGTTATTGTTTTGTTTACAGAGTTTAAGATTTCATTGTCAATGGATTATTTTGTACAATTAAATTATGTCTTAATTAATAAATCTCCATTTTTCATTTTAATATCTAATACCATTTAATATCTAATTCCATAATCTTCATTTCTTTTACAGTATAAGAGCAGCAAAAAATAAGACATAACTTTGTGCAAAAATATTTTAAAGATTAATGATATTATTTTTACATTTATGTCAAAAAATTACTTTTGTCTTTCTCCTCCTCAACTGTAACCTCAGGTTATCAGTTCTTCAAAATCCTTCCAGATGCTTATGTAACCAGGTTCAACTATCAAAAAGAATGGACTTCCTTATATTGAAACAGTGGACTCTTGAACATGTTAAAATATTTCCTAAAATTATTATAGATATTTTCTTCGAATCTAGTGACCTTAGATAAAAATAGAATTTTATGTACTGTATTAATAGTAAAGACAGTTGTCTGTTGCTCTAAATTTTGAGATACCAGGTCAGAAACAATACTGGGGAAATTCAGATACTTTTTTTTGGCTGAGCAATTATCAGTTTGCCAGGGACTTTTTTAATTATACAAGTTGAGTCACTAAGGGTCAATTAGAATTTCTGATTCAATAATATTTCTTTCTATCATTTGCTTTCAATAACATTTCTTTTTAAAATGATTTCCTTTATTTAAAAAAATTCCAAAACTACATGACCATTTATAAAAATTTAAAAAATAGGCAAAAATAAAATCACTCATATTCTATATTAACATGAACACTTATTATTTTATGAAAACAACTTACCAGAACTTCATTGTGAGATCATATAGCCAATTGCCTCTTTGTATATGTTTAATATGCATCTCCCTGTCTCTGATTCCACATCTAATTCATCTAAAAACATATCACTTGAAATGTACACAAATCCTAATATTTAAGCAGTGGAATCTGTGAACTAGTACCATTCATAGTGACTATTGTCATCCTTGAAATTGCTCTTGAAGGACACAAATATGGCTGGAAAATCAATTTCTTTTTTTTTTTTTCTCTTTTTTTACTGGGAGCACCTACTGTGCAATCCTTGAGGTAGGTACTCACCCTCACTTTTGTGGCCTTTTTGCACTAGATTAGTTGGATTGATATATTATTTAATTACTTGTGATTCCACAAACATTTGGAATGATGTCATAAACAATACTAGGTGCTGGAGAGTCAAAGATGAGTGTAAAAGGCTTTGATAACCTGGTGCAGTTGGGTGTCCTGAACTGAGATAGATACTCACTAGGCTCAAAGGTTGTCAGGAAGTTTTCATAGAACAGTTGACACAAACTGAAACTTCCTGGTAAGAAAAGCATAAAAGGCAGGGTACAATTGCAAAACATATAATGTAGCAACCTGGGAGACTGAAGCAGGAAGATTGCAAGGTTGAGGTCAGCCTGGACACTTAGTGAGAACAGCTCAAAATAAAAATTAAAAGGGACTGGGAATGTAGTTAAGTGGTAGAGTAACCCTGGGTTCCATCTCCAGTATTGAAAAAACAAACCAATGTGCTTTTTAAAAAATATCACACAAAGTCTCAAGACATTTCAGAGATGTACTCTATGGCTATGTCACTTTCTTCTTTAGTATTTATCAGTTTTGCTGTAATGAAAGATTAGTCAATTGACTTCCAGAATTAATTTGGAAATAGAAAAGTAAAGGAGGACACAGAAAAAAGTTTGAGGGATGTAGTTATTTCTTCATGAGGTTATCTGGTGCTGTACTGTGTTCATTACCTAAACACAGTTTCGTGAAACTACCCGTGTCTCTTTCTAGAATTGAAAATTGTTTTGAGGTATTTGTTTTATAGTTATTTGTGCTTTCTAATTCAGTGGTCTTCTATTTACATTTGAATACTATCAAGGCTAACCCATCACGTGAGCTATGGGATTATTTAGCATAAAACTTAGAAATAAGTGCTTAGGAAATGATAAGAATGGTAGGATTATATTTAAAACCATCTTCTTTGGAAACCTTCAAAATATACATATTCTCTAACCAGAGAGAATTTACAAAAACAAAAATCAATAATTTAAATTTTCCAAAGAAATAATGAATGCTCAAAAGATTTGGGATCAATGAAAAATATTTTCGACACAAAAAAATAGAATAGCAGAAAGAAAGAAAGAAATTTGTCAGTGGTATTTGAATTCTAGTCTCATCAATCCAACTTGAAAGAGTGAGAGAAAAATCACAATGTAGCATAAGTTAAATTTGTGAAAACCAATCTTTAAAGTTTTTTCTTCAAAAAATTAGAGCATTCGCAATTTCATAACTTGACATTTTTAGAAATAACACTGGTATTGTGCTGATGCAGAAGTAGTTCTTCCTTTGCAGATCATACTGAAAGATTTAGGGGAGAATTATCCTGGTATTTACATATTTGGGGATAACTTGAAACAGATCAGCAAATATATAGAGAAAGAGGAAGTAAATATAGCAAAATATGTTGCTGAGAATCTATACAGTGGATATAATGTTTTTGCATTATGCTTTTTACTTTCCTGCATGCTTGAAATTTTATATATAAAGTAAAAGAACACTCAAACTCAATTCAGCCATGAAACAAGAATAATTTGCATAAATTTCCCTAGTAAAAAAAGTACACATTTGCTTTACTTAAAGCAAATAATACAGAAAACATTTTCAAATGGTTAACTGAAGATATTCCAAAGAAGTATGCATAGAAACACTCATTGAAAATTAATGGAAAAAATAGGTATATAATGATAACTTTAGCCATAGTCAATATGAAAAACATAAAAGGACAAAGCCTATGTGTGCCAAACATCATAGCATCAAACTACACAAAATGTGCTAAAAGTCAACAAAATATTTTAAATTAAAATAATAAATGAATTGATTAAAATTAAATTATTTCAACTTCTTAATGTGATAGGTGATTTTCAGTAAATGATGGATAAATTATGTAAACTATGTAGGATCCAGACAATAAACTTTCTTAAAAGACTTTTTAACACTGTGGTTGAGGCACCAAAATTGAACATTTTGTGTTTGAATGCAAAGAAAATCATAGCATCACTCTCCCCCCAACACACACACACACACACAAATTGTGTGTGAAAACTCCATTCCTTTAGATTTAAATGAAATGTATCCAATTTCCTCCCACCGCTACAGTTTCATAGATTATCAAAATCAAAGAACTTCAATCATAAGTAATTTAGAGTGTCAGTAATCGCCTCTGCTTTTTTCTTCATTGTCTTTTGAATATCTTTTAAATTTGTCCCCAGCCTTTTATTCTCATTTTTTTTTTCAGTTCAGACCCACAATACCCCTTACCTGATTTATAACAAAAGCTCGTCCCCTACTTCTGCCCATGTACCAAATTCATCATTCATACTGCCACCAAGGCCATCTTTCCAAAATATCAATCATGTCCCGTGTTTCATGTCAAAAGGTAAAAATAAAGGAGCATAAATTGGGAGGTTTCCATGGGAAACCAGGTATTTGACTGCCAAGAAGAGAGGCCATATAAAGTAACGTTTATTTGGTAAGTTCTCCTTGGCTCAGAATCTGGCTTTTAGCCTTTCAATTCCAGAAAACTTATCATGTCTTTTCCACAGGTTGATTAACCTTTTGAAATGTGAGTGATGAGCTAAACCAAGTTATTGAATTTCTGGCTATTTATCAGCACACCACAATCCCAAAGCAGCTCTGAGTCACCAAAACAGAGGCAAATTTATCTCATGTTTCTCACCCAAAGCAGTTTAGTCATCTCTCTCGTGGCCTTTGCATCCTTCAGGTATCTTCGAAAGCTTTTGAGAGTCTTTCTATGATCATATTATCAAAACAACACTCTTCTTTAGTTTCTAACCCAATAACTGCTGTTCCAGTTCCCCCAACAAGCCCCAAATTTCCCGTGTCTGCTTGACTGCTCCCAGCAGGGGCTTCACCACATAACCTCAGGCCCAGCCATCTATGACTGTATCTGACTTTGGCACCCAGATTCCACATGGAAGTTTGAGTTCAGTTGGTCCCACCAAGTGTAACAGCTGGATCACTTGGCTACCACAAAATATACACTGTACTTCTCAGGTCATCTGTTTTCTCACAGCTTCTTGACCATGATGCTTTTTGTTATAACTCCCTCTCCTTCTGCCGCTTTCTCTTCTAAAACCTTACAATTGGCCAATAATGTCTCCCTTTTCTCAGATTGCTTCCTGACCTTTTCAGACAACTGGTTGTCCCACCAGCAGCTCTCTTTCATTGAAGTTTCCCCTTTTAGTCTCCAACGTACCATCTTCAAGGGTGGTGCTGCCATTTTACTTATATCCTCCAATTAGACTTTCAACCATTGTCTCATCTCTCCACCCACACAAAGTACCTACTTTTAAGTTTATACCCTCCATTGCTTTCCTAGTTCTATCAATTTCCTGGTTGTTGCTCACTTCCTTATATTATTCTGAAGGCTTTGACTCTGTTTAGTTTTCTTCCTCATGTCATTCCATCATTTGATCTGACTTCAGTGTCCATGAGAATGGACAATCTAACACCTTAGACATAGAGTTCCTTGACAGGCCCAATGCATTTCCAGTGTCCCTTGCCTCTTCTCCATTTCAGCCATCCACCCACTGTCCATATCCTCAACCATATCATCCCCTGAAAAATCTTGTTTTACACAACATAAAAAAATTTTAAACCCCAGTATTCTACCACATGACCACAGTCCTTGACTCTCCAGGTCTCTTATTTCCTCACTGTTAATAAACAGACTCTGGGTCTTAGTCCAATCCTTCAGTCTCCATTTTCTCCTAGTCTTGTAGTCTTGTAGATTTACCTTCCTATTCAACTCTAACCTCACATGTGATCATGGGAACCAATATTTCATCTTTTCTTATTGCAACTCCCTATACCACATCTTTGAACTGCACATTCATAGTTCCAGGATGCTTTTCCATTCATTCATTCTCACAAATATTTATTAAGTACCCATCATTTACCTAGTACTTTTCTCAGCAAAGATATACCTAGAGGAAAGATAATTAGATGAACTATGAAGAATATAAAACAGGTTTATATATGAAAGTAGCTGGAAATGGCATTTTAGATTGGGAAGATCTTTATAGTCTCAGATTGAGAAAGCCACTTTGAAGACATGAAAAATCTGAGCAATAAGGAATAACCATGTACAGCTAGGTCTAGGAGAACATTCCAGGCAGAAGAAATGACTAATTCTAAGGCCCAAGAAACAGAAAGAACAGAATCACTGAAATGTAGTCAAATTAGAGAGACAGGGTCCAGACCTCATGAGATTTAACAAAATGTGGCCAAAGGCATGATTCATATTCTCAATGCAATGTGAAGTCACTCAAGAGGAGTGGAATAAATGATTTACATTTTAAAAAATCATTTGTCTTTTATGTAAAGAGTGAGTTGATGCAAGAATGGAAGCAAGAACTCCAGTTAGGAAGCCATGTAGTTCAGATGATGACTTTAAAAAAATTATGATAGTGATAGTGGAAATAAAGAAAAGTGGGAAGATTTAGGATACATGTTTTAGAGGAGACAGGACTTTTACTAAAAGTGGGATGGCTTTTAATAAAAATGGGATGACTGAGCGAGGAGCAGATATGATGTATGATAGAAATACCCAAAAGTTTATATTTGATAATTGGAGATGTCAAGTAGAGTGTCAGGAATTCAGTGGTGCAGTCAGAAGTGGAGATATAAATGGTGGATTAACTGTGGAGCAGTGGTAGTTTTGGTATTAGATTGCATAAGATTGATGAATGTGAACACAGATAGGGAAGGCAGCCAAAGACAGAGATTGGAACCATCCATCATCTAATGGTGAGAGGAAAAGAGCCTACAAAAGAGAAGGAGAAGCATTATCCAGGGAAAATGTAGGAAGGTCAGAAGAGCATGGTGATCTGGAAAAGTCAAAATGACGAAAATATTTCAAGATGGAGGGGGAGTGATCATCTGTTTCAAATTCTGCTAAGAGGTAGAGTAGAATGAGCACTATCTACTGGATATGTTTAGATGAATTTCATTGGAAACCTTGACAAAAGCATTTTCAGTGGAGTCATAATGGACCTTAACTGGCTGAGGAGTTATATGGAGGTAAGAAAGTAGACATAAGCACAGAATTTTGCTATAAAGTAGAACAAGTAATATGTACAGTAACTAATGGAGATCATGGACTCAAGAGAAATTCTCCCTACCTGCCCCCATCATAGATAGCACAGTATGTTTGTAAGTTCATACACAAAATCCAGAATTAAAATTGATAAATAAGGTAAGATGATAGGTCTAATGTTTCATTTGATATCCTCTGTTTTCTTGGTGAAATAAAAGTAAAGCTATATGCTCACCTCAGCTGTATGTGTCCTAAAATTGAACAACACAGAAAAAAATTAACACCATGAATAGGGATGACATGTAAATTTGTAAAGCATTTCATGCTCTTTATGAAACTAAAAAGTAGAAAAAAAATAAAGTGAAACTATGAGCTGAGGAGGAGACAGGAGACGGGTGAGGAAGCTTAAATAAAGATAAGGTCCCAAATAATGTCTTATCCATTAGGTTAGGTAAGTGGAAGACATAATTGAAAAGACAAATTGATAGCATTGCTTACCAGTGTTGAGGGCCTCCTCTCAAATTTGTGGTTATAAATTTAAAGAAAGTTGTGTCATTATGGTTGTGGGGTTTTCCAACCATATTTAGCTGCTTAAGGACAGCAGAAAAATGGGGCATTTGCTAGGTGGTCCCATGTTATGAATAAAAAGAGGGGAAAAGTATTGAATTTAATGATGGATATAAAATAAATTGGGTAACATGGGAAGTCAGAACCCAAAGGAGTAGAGAGAGACGATGAAAATTGGTAGGTTCAGAGCTGGAGTTGTGGCTCAGTGATAGAGTGCTTGCCTAGCATGTATGAGGTGCTGGGTTCAGTTCTCAGCACTATATATAAATAAATGAATGAAATAAAGGTCCATAAACATCTTAAAAAAAAAGTAAAAAAAGAAAATTGGAAGGTTCAATGGGTTGCGTATGGCAACTCCAAATCAGAATGACTTGAATGTAATTATATAAGGAGATCAGAGGAGCAAAGAGATTCTGTGAGTTCCTCTTTACCTAGGATTATATTTTTAGCTTGAGCATACAATTTCCCAAGGTAAAAGGGGCAAAGATAAAATTAATTTTTCACCTTCTTTCATTAATTTATCAACTTATTCTTGATATAATTTGATTCACAGTCTGGTTAAACTGTGTATGTTTTATGTGAAAGACTTAAAATGTCTGTTTTCTTTTTTGTGGAGCATTATAAGGTCACTATTATCCTAAAGAGATAATAATGACATGTAGGCCCCAACATTTGGAGAAGCTACAAGTGAAATTTGAAACTAGGATTGAGGGGAAAATGCTGCCAATTTTTTCACTGAGATAAATTGTGTTGAGGACAGTTGTACCCAGGTTTCAGAATCTGAAAAAGTTTTGGGCAGTTTCTCTAGCATAAGGCAGAAATCCTTTGAATAAATTTAGTGCAAGAATCAGGACACATTGATTTATGTAGTTCATGTTATACAGGTTGATTGGGCCATAGTGCTGTTCATCATTTGTCAGTTTTTCTATTTTTCAGAGACACTATTTTCACATCTTGTCTCTAATTGCTACCCAGATTCAACTTTATGTATTAAATGAAATCATAATCAAATTTATTACAAGAATTTTTATGAATCTCAAGTTGATTCTAAATTTCATATGAAAAGGGATATATACAATATAGTCAGTCTAATTTGAAAGAATGAACAAAGGGAGGGGGAGGGGACTTACACTAATAAATAGCCAAATATATCTGTTATACTTAAAATAATGTGAAATTTGTTTAGAAATAGATAAATAGATCAAAAGGTAACAAAATACTGAGTTTAGAAAGGGCCATGTAGATGTATGGGTATTTAGTGTATCATAAAGTAATTAATTCAAATCTATAGAAAATAGTGATGGGACAATTTGAATACCATTTGGTATTCTATTTTGATTTATATATTTTTGAGCTGTATATTTTTGGCTTTGTTTTGTTTTTAGTAGTTTCCCTAGACAGTATAATATGCATCTCTAACTGATAACCATTTACATAGAATCAATGCCAGATTATTTCAGGTAAAAATGTAGGAACCCTGAAGAGAAATGTTTTTATTTAACACCCTCCAACCTTGGTGTTATTTGCTGTGGTATGTGTGTTATATTAATAATGCTATCAACTTCAAAATATTTCAGCTACAATTCTATTACCTCAAAAATAATTTTTGGGTTAGTCACAAATCTTTTGAAAAACAATCTCACTATCTACACATGTGTATTTAGTGTGTCTCTCTGTGTGTTCTTTGATATTTGCTACGTATTTACCATATTGGATGCTCATTTCTTCTATCAAGATTTGCCATCTGGCATCATTCCCCACTTTTTGGGGGGAAGTGGAACCTTGGACTTCCTCTAAAGGGCATTTTTTGTAATACAGGTCTCCAGGTTCAGAATTATCTCCAATATTGATTATTGAAAAATGTCTTTAATTTGCCTTCAGTTGTGACTAATTATTTTTCTACTTAACAATATTTTTTCTGCATTTTAAATATGTTACTCTAAAGTCTTGACCTTCTTTATTGCTCCTTGAAGTCAGTCATTGCAAAGTCAGGGACTGCAAATTGGTGCAATCACTTTGCAAAGCATTATGGAGAGTTCTCAAAAAATTAGGAATGGAACTACCATTTGACCCAGTCATCCCACTCCTCAGTATATATCCAAAGGATTTTAAATCAGCATTCCACAGTGACGCAGCCACTTCAATGATATTTATAGCAGCATAAATCACAATACCTAAGCTGTGGAGCCAAACTATGTGCCCTTTAACAGATGAATGGATAAGGAAATTGTGGTATATATACACGCAATAGAATATTACACAGCCATAAAGACGAACAACTTTATGACATTTGCGAGTAAATTGATGGATCTGGAGACTGTTGTGCTAAGTGAAATAAACCAATCCCCAAAAACCCCAAATTGGAATATTTTCACTGATATGTGAAAGCTAAACCACAATAAAGGTGGGGAGGGGAAGAAGAGAAGTTCAGTAGATTAGATATAGAGGAATGAAGGGAAGGAAGGGGGCATATGAATAGGAAAGACAGTGGAATGAATCTGACATAATTTTCCTATTTATCTATATGAAAATACCTAAGTGAATCCCACTATCATGTATACCTACAAGAATGGGGCCCTGATATGAATAAGATTTATGCCATACTTATATAATTTTACCAAAATGGATTCTACTGTTATGTATAACTAAAAAAGACTCATTAAATAATGTGAAAGAAGTTACTGGCTATTCTTGTACTTTGGTAAATGTTAGTTACTTTTGGTAAGTGCTGTTTCAGGACCAGGGGTACAAAGTGGGAGGGAGGAGAGGAAAATGCAACGCATATTAAGACTAATGCAATTCTGGAAGCTGTAAAAATGAAGATTTCAGGGCTGGGGTTGTGGATTAGTGGTACAGCGCTTGCATAGCATGTGTGAAAGGCACTGGGTTTCATTCTCAGCACTGCATATAAACACAATAAAGTCCATTGACAACCAAAATATATATATTTATATATTTTTAATAGATTTCTTATATCCCAGAGCTCCTGGGAATGCCTGAGTAGAGATGTATTTTTAAACATTCTTTCCTATCTTATCTCTACCCTTTAAGAATCCAAAGCAATCATAACCCTTAGGCTGAGATCTCTGACGTCAAACATCATGTCCAAGAGCGAACATTGTGTGCTACTGGGAGAAAAACTCAGTTTGGGTAAAACTAAAAACTAGGTTTTGTTTGTTCTTTTCCTTTGTGGAAGGAAAAAGGAGTGGAATATATGAAGAAAATTGTTGATTCTCCATGTCCCAAAGCAAGACACTTAAAATTTGCTGCTGCTTACAACCTCGGAAGAGCTTATTATGAAGGAAAAGGTGTTAAACGATCAGATGAGGAAGCTGAAAGGTAATTGTACCTGGAAACAAGATTTTGTTTTACTGAAATGCTGAAACAGGGAGTAACTCACCTTGCTTTCTCTTTTAGACTGTGGCTTTTTGCTGCAGACAATAGAAATCCAAAAGCTAGTGTGAAGGCTCAGTGTATCCTAGGATTATATTACTCAACAAAAGAACCCAAAGAGTTAGAAAAGGTAACATTCCCTTTCTTATTCTTTTTTAATGCTAGCATTACATTTAGATTCATATTTGCTTCATTCTTTTTTGAGAGAACAGTGGGGAATAAGTGTGTAGTGTCAAATGTGTCTTGCATTTCCTTTAAGATGTAAAGAAAGTTCATATTTTAGGATCTCAACGCTCATCTCATACCTTTTACTCATCTGTAAATGCTGTTTTCCCTATTTCTACCATAGGAGAGAGTATTTAGAGGTGAGAGTATTTTGTATAAAGTTACATATATAAAGCATAACATTATAAAAGCTATAATGGTCCTGAAATTAATGCCCAGATTCTCTTAAGTGTGAATAAATAATATCACCTTTGATTTGAGGAAATAATCAATGAAACTAAGTAAAATATATCAAGAATTAAAAGGTAAATCCATTTAAGTTTTTCACAGAAACATAATCTCTTCATCATCAATGATGGGAACATTGTCCAAGAAATTCTACAGGGAGAACTGACTTCTGCTTCTATGAGAGAAATGAATGGCAAATTAGTAAGAGGCAGATAACAACTAAGACTATCCTCAGATAACTGAGCAGCCACTTGTAGGTAGATTTTTAAAGTAATTCAAATTCACCATAATAGAGCATCAAGCAAATGCGCTTGAGACCACATACAGCTTCCATCCTCAGTAGTCTTTGATCTTGGCAGCTGCCTTCTCTACCACCCGGCTGTGGCTCTAACTTTTCCTTAGTGTCAGCAGCTCTTCTCTCCCTTAGGAGACTCATTGCAGGTGTCCTCAAGCCTTTCACTTCTGATTTTACACCATCTTGATCCTTACTCTGGAAAGTTTGAAGCCTGAAACAATGCCAGCTGATCCTCCCCTGTTAGCCATTCTTGCCTGTGTCGTCACCAGTACGAAGTGGAGAGAACTCTTGCTGGCCTGTGCATTCAGTGCTTGTGTGCCATACATTCAAGGGGCTAGAACTACTTCCTAAAGATGAATGTTCTATCATACTATTTTACAATTAGCCTTTTCTTTCTAGGATCCCCTTAAAATTTCAAATTGTTAATAAAATGATCAACTTGTGCTCCTTCTTAGGCATTTTATTGGCATTCAGAAGCATGTGGCAATGGAAACCTGGAGTCCCAGGGTGCTCTTGGTCTCATGTACCTTTATGGACATGGCATCCGCCAGGATACTGAAGCTGCGCTGCACTGCTTAAAAGAAGCAGCAGAACGTGGGAATGTCTATGCTCAAGGGAATCTCGTGCAGTATTACTATAAGATGAAATTTTTTACAAAGTGTATCACATTTTCCAAAAGGTGACTGTCTCAATCCATTTTGTGTTGTTACAATAGAATACCACAGACTAGATACTTTATAATGAATACAAATCTGTTTCTCACAGTTCTGGAGGCTAGGAAACCCAACAGAGATGCCGCAAGTTCAGTTGGTTAAGGAGGGCCTCATCCTGGGGAAGAGATGGGACTATGCTGTTTTCATGTAGTGGAATATGAAAGCTGTGTGAAGCATCCTAAGAGCTTTAATCTCATTCATGAGGGAAGAGCCCTTGTGATCCAGTCACTTCTTAAAGAATGTCATCTTAGCAACACCTGAATTTTGCAGGGGACATATTCAAACAGCAGCAGTAAGATTCTGGATGAAAGTATTTCAGTAAACTCTGTGTGGTAGAGCACACCCATCCTAACCCCAGCTACTTGGGAGGCTGAAGCAGGATAGCAAGTTTGAGGCCAGTCTGGCCAATGCAGAAAGACAAAAACTCCACCTCCCAAATCACCAAAAAAAAAAAAAAACCTAGATGTTCTATGCTAGGCTAGATCTGTTCATTAGAACTTTCTACAATGCTATGAATAGCTACTGAGCACTTAAAATGAATCTAATGTAATCTAGAACTGAACATTTAAATTTAATTTAGTTTTAATTAAAAAAAAAAGCTACACAGGGCTAGTGGCTACCATACTGAATAACACAATCCTATGCCCTTATCTTCAGGATTTCAGTGCTGTAGCTTTTTAAAACATTAATTGGTTTATTTGTAATAAGAAAATACTTTTACAGCAGAATTATAAAAATCGTGCATTTAAAATAACAGATCAATGCATCAAAAAATGTCTGCTAATTAAGTTTAAATTACTCCTTGTGTTCCTCAGTCATGAAGTTGTTACTGCACAATCAAAATACAACTTCATGATTATAAAATGAAACAGTTGTTATAAGACTGACGCCCTTATAAAATATATGGGAATTTTTCCCATAAGGCTGCACACACTTTTCTACATACTATACAAAAGCAACGTACAAGGAAAAATGCATGTTCTCAAGTGGTCATCAGACTATGCATCTGCTGATGCATTTCACGATCATGCAGTTCCACAGAGCCCAAGGTCTCCCTTCACCCACAGCCCAAGTGAGAGACAGTGATGAAGAGATGAAAGCAGGAAGGACCTGCTTCTCCCCTCTCCCATCTTAGCTTTCAGGAAGCAGCTACTTAAAGCTTTGGGTGACCTCCAGTGTCCCTGAGCACATGCCCATCCCAATTAAGACTAAATTACTCCTTAAAAATCTGTGGAACTTTCCATTATCTTCCCCATTTCTAATCTCTCTAACATTGTGAATAGCATGGAGTTGACTAGATATTATGGTCACATGATTTTCCATATTTGCCTCTGGTTTACAAAAGATCGCCTTTTTATTTCCCACTTTTAAAGAAAACAGATATGCTAGCTTTTAAAAGTAGTTTCTGGTCCTATTTTAAGCTTAAAATATTATGAGAAAATTACTATCTAGAAATTTTATTTTAATATCATGAGAAAAGTACAATCTTTTTCTAATGGCTATTAAACCTAAAGAGTAAGGTCATAGGGAAACTGTAACCTCTTTAATTAGCTTACATTCCCCCAGTATCAGGTGATGATAATAACACATGACTATTCGTCAGACTACCTAGTTTGCAAAGAACAATGAAACATCACTTTGACTACAAGGACAATTTCTAGACATGTCATTTTGTAAAAATGTAAACCATAGCTGATGTTTTTTTTTTTTAACTTCACAATTTAACATCCTATCAGGATTGCTGACTATGATGAGACTCATGACATCTCCATAATAGCCCAGGTCACAGACTGTCCCCCAGAATTCATCAACAGAGGCATGGCCATGGCATCCTTCTACCATGCACGGTGTCTTCAGCTTGGCCTGGGCATCACAAAAGATGAAGAAACAGCTAGACTATATTATTCTAAAGTAAGCTTGAAGAAAATATAAAGTTGTCTTTGTTAACTTAGAAAATATAAATGCTTTCTGCATTATTCTGATTTCCAAACCAAGTCCATTTTAGGTTTTAGACTATCCTCACTTGGTATTCTTTCTAAATTAATATAAGCAGAGAAAATTCTGGGTAAAAATATCTTGAAATGTGGTATATACATCCTGAAAAGTCAGCAAACCAAATATTGCAATGTTAGAACTCTTTTCCACATGATGGAGAGGTGATCATCCCATTATTTTGCAATAAGACCACCTTTAAGCTGAGTGTGATGGTGCACACCTGTAATCCCAACAACTTGGGAGGCTGAGAAAAGAGGAAGAAAAATAAAGAGTACCATGGGTTTGTAGCTCAGTGGTAAAATGCCCTTGTTTCAATCCCTAGTACACACACACACACACACACACACACACACACACAAAGACCATATTCAGAATGAAGTGTCCATTTTTGCTATTGTATTTACCATGGGAGATACTGATGGAATGGAGAAAATTTAGAGGCAGTAAACCAGTACAGGGTCTGGTTTAACCATGTCATATGAGGCATTGGAATAGAAATGAAGAATGTTTTATTCAGAGCAAAAGGATATGGCAGTGTGTATGTGGGGAGGTGTGCTGAAGTGATCTCACTGAACTAATAAAGTGTCCTAAAGAAAAGGTACTGTGGGAAGAAGCAACCAGAGACAAGGTTCTTGTATTATGGAAAAAGATAAGGCAGTACTGTGAGGGCAGGGCAGGAGGACACAGGGAAAGCAAGACCTAAGGTCATGAGACCCTTGCCTGACACAACTGAAACAGGAAACAAAAACAAAAGTTTTCCTTATAAGTCACCTCCTGCCACCAGAAGCTAGTGACCAATTTCCCTGGTACTGAAAGGAAAATTTCTGCACAGAGTGGGGGTGGGGGTGGGGGAGGGTGGGGGAGTGGGGGTGGGGGAGGTGGGGAGTGTTGGACAGGATAACCTTTGATCTCTCTCCCAAATTCCTGACATTCTGCAATAAACACTGATGTGGCTATGTCCCTGTAGGATGCTGTTTTTAAGTCCTTTGAGTATAGACCGAGGAGTGGGATAGCTGGGTCAAAAGGTGGTTCCACTCCAAGTTTTCCAAGGAATCTCCATACTGCCTTCCATATTGGCTGCACCATTTTGCAGTCCCACCAGCAAGGTACATATATCAAAAATTTTCCTTGGCCCTCATAAAATTTTCTCTCTTTCAAATGATAAGTGGATATTTTTTAAAGATATTTATTTTTTAGTTGTAGTTGGATACAATATCATTAATTAATTAATTAATTTTTATGTGGTGCTGAGGGGATTGAACCCAGGGCCTCTCGTGTGCTAGGTGAGCACTCTACTGCTGAGCCACAACCCCAGACCCAAAAGTGGATATTTTGAGCATGATCTATTTTGCATGTGTTAGATTTTAAATTCCTTTATTTCTAGTAAGAAATACAGAATAGAAAAGGTTAAGAAATTTCCTTGATACTCATTGTACTTTCTTTACTATTCATTAAAAAAAGAAGACAGACTCAAACAATTAGAATACATTTAATGACTGGCTCCTTTTGATTTTAAGGCTTGTCGTCTGAATCCGGCAATGGCAGATGAACTTCACTCTTTAGTTATTCATCAAAGAATTTAGACCACAGTGCATTTCATCAAAGATCGTCAATCCTAACTCCATATAATGTGTATATTTTTATGGCAGCTATGTATGTTATTTTCTGCATCCCCAGTTATATTATCCTGGGTATTTTACAGATGATATGTTACCTTTGTTCTTGAATTTGTATTCTCTAATTTTTGCAACCAGAAACCTAGCCACAGGATCAAATTGCTGGAAGAGTCCTCAGAGTCCACCTCTTAACCTATAGCGAAGCCTAGACCATATTAAATTTGAAGCTATTCCTTAAAGCAAATGTCTTTTTCCTTTCTTACATACACAGTGTCTTAAAGATTTAGCAGTTCTAGTTAATAAGTTCCAAATCATAAATGCTACAAGCTTATTTTAAAACACCATTTGAAAGTTTCTTTAAATTTCTTTGGTGCTTAGTTTTGTGAATTTTGAATAGCACATTGTTAATTTGAATTTTTTGTTTCAGTCATGAAAAAATTTTAAATTCACAAAATAAGGGCCAAAGAAATGTAAAGAATTAGATTTTCAAATAACATTTTTGATATATAGCATTTCTACTTCTGAAGTTATTAAAGCTAAAAATATTTTTTAAAATAATTGACTTATTATAAACTTTTAAAAGAGAGGGTCTAAGAAAATTGCTTGGAATTTTGTTCCTCCAAATATTACCTCAAAGATCTTTTTAATGTGCAACACCATTACTACATCCCTGATGAATATTCATAAGATAATTCATTAAAGCAAGATGCTTCTTGGTCTTTCAACACATTTTACATTTTGAAAACAGATACATTCAATGCACAATAAAATGTGAGAAAGAACTCATCAAATCACCTAATTATACAAGAATTATATCTAAATTTTGTTTTAAAACTCCATGAGCAAGTCTTTCTGTCAGTTACATCTATGAAAGCAAATGGTGACAGTAAGAATAGTAAGATTCATATCCATAAGATTGTATAGTGCTGGGCCTGGTGACACACACCTGTAGTCCCAGTGATGCGGGAGGTTGAGGCAAGAGAATCAAAAGTTCGAGGCCAGCCTCAGCAACTTAACAAGGCCCTCAACTTAGCGAGACCCTGTCTGAAAATAAAAAATAAAAAGGGCTGGGGATGTAGCTGGATTTGATCCCCTGGGCCAAAATAAAAAAAGTTGTATAGCAACTTTTTTGTATAGCAACCTCAAATATATTGTGAAACAAATATGTTGAAATATGTCTTAAAGATACCTTAATTATCCCTTTTTTGTTAACATAATAAATTAATATGCCTTTATTTTTATAAATCACAACATTCTTTCCATTAGTGGATTTAAACAAGATCTCCTCTTAGTAATGGAAAAATGGAATTAATTACATATGTGACAATCAATCACTAGAAGTGTTACACAGCAGAAAGTAACTTGCTCTTGTTTTATGCTCTGACTTGCTTGTATTTCTTGAATTCTATTTTGTCTTTAGATAAAGGGAAGAAATTTCAGGAGGAAATTTAGGTCTGTGAGATATCTCAGTCATGTTTTGTATATCAAAAATTATACACTTAAACCATCCTTGAAACTCATGTTCATATCACTACTGAATACCTTATGAGATCCCAGTAACACTGTTCAATGTCTCAAGTTCATTACAAGATTTCAAAACATCTCACTTAAATCTTTTCTACAATATAAACTTGGTTTGCAACCTTTAATCCCATCCATACAATATTCCTTCAACCATATGAAGATCCAAATTCCCAACCAGTATTCTCTTCTCCACACTTAATCTGGTTCCTAAAACTTTTCCTCAAGAATCTTCAAACAGGGACTGGTTCTCACTGTGTTGCTCAGGCTGGTCTTAAACTAGGGACATAATAAAGAAGTAAATGCTGAATTCATGGCACATTTAATAAATCTACTATCTTTCTTCAACCCAAAGTAACGACCACTTTTTAAACTGCCATTAAAACACAGACCTCAGGGCTGGAAAAGCACTTGGTTTCCACCCACGGGGCCCTGGATTTGATCTCCAGTACTCAAACAGCCAGCAAAAACGAAGAAACAGGCTTCAGAAAGCCCAAATATAAGGATATAATGTGTCATGTGTAGTAAAATGTTATGCCTAAATGTGAACCCAACATAGAATTTAAAAATTCAGTTCACTGTAGTTACCAGAAGGCAGATGACCTGGCACTTACTTACAAACTACTAGTGCCGCAAACAGTGATATGTATATACCTTAACCTGTGAGTAGAGTTAGTTTAACTCAAGTGAGCTGAGGCTTCTAGAATATTACTCTAAAACTTCTGTAAGACCCATTATAACTGATATCATGTGAAAAAATAAGAATTAATAATAAATGTTGAGATATCAAAACTTTTTTGTCATTTGCAGTATAAACTTAACAACTACAGTTTAAATAATCACATAGAGTTATACATAGGACAGACATTTCCAGTTACTGTGTTATATGAGTTCTTTGGGTTTAGCAATCTCATATTACTTCTCACCCCTGGATGTATTTTAAATGTTCTTTTCAACATCCCTTTGAAGGATAATTCTTATGTTGTAAGTAGCCAACTTTGGGTTTTCCTGAAATGTCAAATATTTTCATTTGAAAAAAAGGATCAAAGAGATTAATTAGAAGAGTCTCAAAGATAAAATCTAGTGTACTAGGTTTCAATCATTTATCTTTCAGAACTTGTTTCTTATTTTATGGATTTAAACTGAACTTGTACCTTTTTGTTTGTTTTCAATAGTTCTAAAGATTAGGGAGAAGACATTTTATTATCACTCCCTAATAGATGACGGAGCCCAAGAAAATTGATTGATTTGTCCATGGTCCCACTATCAATAACAAAACAAAATATGTACTCTGAATCTCCCCTAAAGCCCTGCTGTAGTTCTAAGATTTGATGATTATCAGGTTCCTAAACTCCTTGAAGGAACTTCACTCCTGTCTCTCTATCTTAATTGCCTCCTGGTTCAGCTCACATCTTACCTCCCTAATGCCTCATTAAAACACTAATTTGGCTCTTTTTATGCATTATAAGTCATAGGTTTCACATTAATTCTGTGTCTAGAAAAAAAGGCACTCAATAAATATGTAGACTGCCCCACATGTTTCAATCTCTCTGAGATATGCATCTTAAATATAAAGCATTGTGATTCATTTTTTATATTTTATTGCTTCAAATGCTTCAAACTATGGGAAATCTTTGGTAAAAATAAAGACAATAAAATTTTCACAATAACTTTACACAAAGCATTGCACAACAATGTTCTTCAGTACACATGAAATAACATAGGAATGTTCAGAATCCTCAGTGAGGAAATTAGCTGTACAATATTCATAGTTCATTTTAAAACAAAATTGTTTTCATAAATATTTAAAATATTTCCTAGCTTCTTATCACATATTAACATTTGTATTTCAATCAGTATTGTTGAACTTTTGAAAGTATTTTTATTACTTAAAAATTAATAAACAGGTTTTCTTTTTTTCCTGTTGCCTACCACAGCATCAAGACCCCTCCCCCCAATTCTGCTTATTTCACATAAAACTAGAGGGAGGTAACGAAAATAAAAATCAATATGTTCTCAGTCAGACCCTCTGTGGAAAAGAGGAAAATGTTTCATGTCTATTATTACAGACATTTCTCTGGTGGTTTATTTGTGCAGTCTCAAACTCGATCAGCTTTAAGTTGATCTAAATGAGTTTTCAGCTCAGGACACAGTTCAATTAGCAGCAACTCCATCAACACCTGTACCGAGAAAGAAGGGGAAAAAGTAGAAAGGTATGTTTTTACTCCAAGGGTTTCCTCAAAATAAATATCTATGTCTTAAGAGAAAAGTCTAAGTTTAATTCTGAGATTATTCTCAGTAAACAAGTGACTCTCAAACCAAAGGAATTAATATTATATAAACTTGATTATTTTATGACTTATTAACCATGTCAAATAAATCAACAATATTTAATATTGGTAATAGTGACTGGTCAAAATTTGATTTACTGAAGTTAAGAAAACAGAGGAGTTGGGAGGGAGAGCAAGGGAGGAAGATTATCTCAGATAGGGAATAGGGGTGGGAGGGAACGGGAGGGAGAAGGGGAATAGCATGGATGGTGGAAGGAGACCCTCATCATTATACAAAATACATGTATGAAGATGTGAATTTGGTGTCAACATACTTTATATACAATCAGAGATATGATAAATTGTGGTATAAAGGTGTATTAAGAATTGTAATGCAAAAAAAATAATAAGAGATCTCATGTATAATGGCATAATTTTGTGTGAACATACTTTATATACAGAGTTACGAAAAATGGTGTTGTGAATGGATAATTATGTTTGTAATGCATTCCACTATTGTCATGTACGTAAGAAATTTTTAAAAAGTTAAAAAAAAGAAAAAGAAAACAGAGGAGGCAGAAATATTGCATCAAAAGTCAGGAGAGACAGCTAGAATATAAGGCTGAGAATGCTGTAAGCACTGGGGGGCACTTTTATTCTTTTTCACCAAATGAAGAGATAGAAACAAAAATGAAGCAGAAAACATGGGTTGAGAGTTAGAAGGAAGAAGAAATAGAATGTAATGGATTAAAATCTACTCCAATATGTGAACAGAAATATAAAATCCCAGAAGTGCTTAGTTTTTCTGGTAGACTTTAATTTACTCACATATAACAGATGTTTATTGGCTCTTGTTTCTTGCAGTGCCTTGAATATTTTTATTATACCATGGCGGGCATTTTGTTGTCCAACAAGGCTCTGGAGTGTATCTGAAAAATTAAGTATTTTTTTTTAATTTTTTGCAGTGCTGGGGATTGAACCCAGGGTTTTGTGTATGCTAGGTAACTACTCTACCATTAAGCTATATGGCCAGCCCTGAAAAACTAAGTTTTGATTCTGTGTTGCTATTGATAATGTGCACAATGAATATATCACATGATACATACATAGTAAACAAAGGCACTGAAGCATTAGGAATGGTCAGTTCTCTCAAATATTTAAAAAAAAGTTTATTTAGAATTTTCAATATAAGGCGTTTATTAAAAAAAAAACTACAGTTGTAATATACTGCCACTACTAGTTTAAACAATTAAAATCAATATATTTTTAATACTCTTAAAATTTTACAGTACACTTTAGCCTGACCTCTACTAAAGCACAAAATTTACTATTTGCTCTAAAACATTTCTCTAGTTAAAACTTAAGATTCTCAGTATGAATTAACAAATGACAAAAAATGGCTTTTAAAAGTACAATAATGTTTAAAAAATTGCAAATAATGTTTCCTG